AAGTTTGAATTTGTTGATATTTGTTTGTATTTTCCAATGGTGCTCAAATGTGTTAATGTTCTGTATAGCTCTTTCTGTTGTTCGTTTCATGATGTGTTGTGATTTAGAGGGGTGTGATATTATCTGTGTGATATCGTCTGCGTAGGAAATATAGTTGCTGTAGGTTGTAGGCTGTGGCAGATTGGCTGTATACAGGATATACAGGGTTGGTGAAAGAACACTTCCCTGTGGTACTCCACTTCTGAGGTTGAGGGGGGCGCCCAGGTGTGAGCCCAGGCGTATTGTGGTAGTCCTGTGGTCGAGGAAGATGCAGAGGAGGCGTGTGAGATGTGTAGGGAGTTGTAGTTGTGTTATTTTGTATATGAGGCCGTCATGCCAGACCTTATCAAAGGCCTTGCTGACGTCTCTTAGTATGATGTTAATCTGGTGCTTGTTAGCGAGACCGAGAGCAATCTCCTCGTAAGCGAGGGCGATAGCGCTCTCGGTCCCCCTGTGTGGGCTAAAGCCATATTGCCTGCTGTTGTGTTTGTTGTTATTTTCCAGTTGTGTGATGAGTCTGCGTGTTATTAGCCTCTCTAAAAGTTTCCCGGGAACTTCCAGCAATGAGATGGGGCGGTAGTTCTCCACCTCATGTGCTGACTTCCCCGACTTCGGAATGAGGGTGATGGTGGCGTTTTTAAATTTGTCGGGGAAATATCCTGTAGCCAATGCCGCATTGAAGAGATGGCGTAACCTGCTTATCATTATGGGTGGTAGGTGTTCTATGATTGTTTTGTTTTTGTTGCTTGCTCCTAGTGTTGTGTTTTTGGTGTGTTTGATTGTGTTTATTATTTCTTCTGGTGTGATAGGTGTGGAGAGGGGACTGTCCTCTGTGAGATTGTTTAGTCTAATGATGTTTTCTGGGAGAACTGTGTTTCTGTGTTGATGTAGTTGGTGTGTTACTTGGTTCTCTGTGGTGTGGTCGAATCGGGCATTCTCGGTGGGGGGAGATTTGGAAATTCTGTTGCCAGAATTCCCTGTAGAGAAGCTCCATATCCCTCACCGAGTCAACCTTTTGAAGGAGCTCCAAAATTTTGGGGGGTCTTTTGTGTTTTGACATAGTCTCTGTGCTAGTGTTCCCAGTGTTGTTTATTCATTACTTTAATTTCGTGTGTTATTTGTGTTTGTATTGTGTGCGGTGTTTGTGCGTTCCAGCCCCGTGTTATTGAGAGGTCGTGTAAGTGCCTGTATTGTATTTTAAGCAATTTCAGACGATGTGATTCTCTGTAGTGAGGGATTGTTTTGTATGTTGTTGTGGGGATGTTGGCATGCCGGGCCGTCTGTATGTCTGTGTACCACTGTTCAAGGTGGGTGTCTATTGTGTGTGTGGGTTGCCCTTCGAGATCAATTACTTGTGTGTTTTTAAGTGCTTGTTTGAAACCCTCCCAGTTTGTATGTTTGAAAGATTCTCGGGGTTGTGTTGGGATCATTATGGGGTTTGTTGACAGTGTTATGATGACCGGGAGGTGGTCGCTGGATGTGATATCGTCTGTTATGTAGTGGTCTAGGTGTGCTCTGTGGTTCGCAAGGACTATGTCAGGTGTTGTTGCCGTGTTGTGGGTAATGTATGTTTGTGTGTGAGGACCGAGGTGTGTCAGTCTGCATTGTTGTATGTATGAGGCCAGGCCTCTGCCTATGTTGTTGGTGTGGTTGTAGCCAAATAGTGGGTGGTTTGCGTTAAGGTCTCCCATGATGTATATTGGTTTGTTATGTCTCAGGAGCTGCAGAATGTCGGGTTCTGGTATGTATGGTCTACGTGGGGGAAGGTATAGTGTTGCCAGTATGATGGGTCCTTGTGGTGTGTTTATTTCGACTGCCAAGAGATCTGAATTGATCTGAGTTATTGATGATTTTGTATTGGATGTTGTTTTTAATTGCTATAGCTACGCCATCGCTTTGTTCTTGTGACTTGTTTGAAGAATAGACTGTGTATGTGTAAATCTTTAGTGGATTTGCGTTATTGAGCCCATGGCTGTTTAGGAGGATATGTGGGTCGTGTTTTCGGTAGGTGTTACAGAGTTCGTGTTTTTGTGTTTTCCAGTGTAAGACGTTGTTTTGTATGATGGTAAAGCGTGAGTGTAGTGTGGTAAGTGCCATGTTGTGTTGTTTGTTTTATGTTGAGTCTTCTATGAGGTGTCCGTTGGGTATTTTACGAATGGTGTTGTCTATGAGAATGTTACCTTCAAGGAGGTGTGCATGTATTTTTTGACCAAGTTATGATGATCTGCTTTGGTCATGAGCCACTTGATTCGGTTCTTATTAATCTCTTGCCCAATTTCTTCTCTTCCCGAGTATGTGTATTTTTTTGGATTTTCTGCCAACAATCTTATGCCGTAAAAACTGGGGTCTACTACAGTGCTGTCCATGAGGCGGTCCCAGCCTTCCTCATCTCTGTGACAAGTTTTGGACTTCTTTCTGACTGGGGATGGTGGTGGTGGGTCAGGGGAGGTGCGGCGGGCCTCCCTGGGGGGATCTAGTGGTGGTTTTCTCGGGCGTTGCTCCTTTGGTCTGATTGAAGTGTCAGGTTTAGGAGTTGTCCAGGGCAACATCATGTGTTACCTCCCCGATGGCTGTGGGGGCTGTAGCAGGAGATTTGGCAGGGGGCTTAATGACATTTAAGATGCCTCACGTGTCGGCCTCCCCCAGATCAAGTTCAGGAAGGTTCCTAGTTAGGGCCTCTTTGGCATGATGCCTGAAGCCCTTCTCAGGGGCAATGAGGTTTTGCAGGTGTGCGTGCAGAAGGACGATCATGATCTCTTTGGAGAGATCATTTGGAAGGGCTAAATGTATGGTGGGTTCAGATTTGCTGGCGCTGGTTTTGATGTCCTGGCGGACTTGGTGGATCAGGGGTTTCCAAGCGTTGGTGGTAGCTTGGACTGTTTCTTGCGCTGCTTTTTGCGCCACTACCTTAAGAGGACTAGCTTCTTTCTCTGTTTCTTTTTCCTTTTCCTTCTGGAGGGACGTTTTCATGGCCTCCTTCCGCACGGGGCAACTGTTGGCAAAAGTGCGGTGGTCACCACCGCAGTTGAGGCATTTTTTGATGTTGCTCTTGCAGTCCCTGTATGAATGTGTGTGGGAGCCGCATTCAGAGCACCTGGCACTTTTTGACTCCTTGCATTGGCTTTTGATGTGACCATAGCCGTAGCAATTCATGGAATGCCTGAGTGGTGTGAAGCGCTCGAACTCAATCTGCCAAGGAGCAACAAAGACTTTAAATAGGTATATACCCTTTTCTTTAATATTCTTGGCGGCCTGGTGTTCTGAAAAGCGGACCTTAAGGAAATAGGAGGTCTTCTTGATGAACACGTTCTCGACATGGGAGTCGGGAACAGCTGCCATGATTTTGTCGGCAATGGCTGACTCAGGTTCATTGACCACGTGTCTATCAATTTTTTTGAAGACCAGCGTGAGCTTGGCCTTCATGTCAAGGGGGAAGCACAGGAGTGAATCCCAGGTCTTTAAGCAACTCGACTGTCGAGGATGAGAAGAGTCTTTGGGCATGATCGTCGTCTTCAACTAGAGCGAGATATCCATCATGGATTTGGTAGTACCGAAGTACTCTTACATTGGCCTCGAAGAGAGCCTTGGCGAGGGCGTCCCGCCGGTTAGGGCCGGGGCTGCCTTGGGAAGTGATCTTAACTTTTATCATTTTTCATTAATGAGATGAGGGGATAAGGGTGATTGAAGAGATGAGAGTGGTAGTAAGATTGGAAAAATAGATGTCCTGAGCTTGACCCCCCTCTAGTGACAGCCTGGTTGCGTTCTCCAGCACACTAGAGGATTGGAGTTTTTGTGTTGGTCTGCTCCCTTGCTGCCAAATCTTGCTACAGAGGGACAGTAGGTGAGAGAGCACCACCCAGACGAATACAAAAATCCCAGAGGGATTTATGTAGGTCCAGATGGCCACAAGAAAGAGAAGAAGTTTAGGAGAGAGAGCGCACCTAAAGGTCACCTCAGACTACTGGGCCTCCCTATACAGGTTTCCCTGTGATAAAGAGTGCTGCGGGTCTAAGGAGAGGTGTAGTATTTCCTTGTCACCGTCAGTAGTCAAAAAAGAAAAACCGCTGAGGGCAGTAGCAAAGTAAATAATCTCTGAAGACAGAGCTAGTTTACTGGACATTTAAGTTATTGAGAGTTCGTAATAGCAAAAGGGGTCGCGACGCGACTGAGGCCCCGGCAAACCAGGGTGGCTCAATGACACTTTGATTTTCCTGTTTGTTATTACAGTGACTCTCTTGGCATTGACTAGGTGAGCGTGGTGAAGGAACGAGGGTACCTTATATACAGTTGTATGTAAGAGAGATGATGTTTACAAGACTAAAAAGACATTTGAATATCGATAATGACAGTGATAACAGTGATTCAGTATAAGCAAGCATTTTTAACGAGTATTTTGAGTATCACGAGAACAGGTCCCTATACATCCATTCTCTTTGTCACTCATGTCCACACTTCCTTCACTTCTTTCCCTTTTATGGAATCCATATGCAATATGTCCTTGCGAGGTAAATCATTTATCCCCCATTTCTACGTCAGAATGTGTGGACCCCGATATGACAATACTATCCGTGCTAACACCTTGGAGGAGCTGACAGATTGCTGGAAGGAACCTCATCCGCTCGATTCAGGATATCTCTCACGACTGAGAACAGCACTAAAACACGTCCTACTTCTACGGGAGGGGGGGAGAGAGACCTTGCATATGCGTGAAATAGAGAGAGACAGTGTATGTGAGTGGAGAGAGAGAGAGAGAGAGAGAGTGAGTGTATGTGTGAAAAGAAAATGCTGAAAGAACATTTTTGAAATAATTTTGTTAAATTATTGGAAGTACATTACGTGGGCGTGGGAACAAGGAATACCAATGCTTCAATAACAATTAACATTTTTAAAGGAACTTTCTCATCAGATCTAGACTTACTTATTTTTTTTTATTACAGTCTTATGTATTCTATCTAAGCTTCACAATTTTTTTTATTTACTTTTCAGGAGGAAATGGAACGAAGCAGGGAAAGATGTCGTGGTGTTACATATGTTCAACCGCGGATACACATGCCCAAGTCTTTCACCTTTTGTTATTAAATTAGAAACTTACCTGAGGATGGCAGATATTCCCTACCAGGTAAAGAATCAAAGGAAAGATTGGTTTAGTTTTATATCTAAAGAATGGTGTTTTATTTTTTATTATTTTTCTAAATGATAAGGTTATTTCTGGATATTATTATGTATCAAGTTAATATGGATGGAGTCAGGAATTGTTGATTCTTATATTGATTATATTTACGTTTATTATATTTATATCTGTTATATGATTGTATTGGTATTTATTATATTCATATTCTTTATATTTTTGGTTATATTGCATTTCTTATGTTAATGTCAACGAGTGATTATTTTGTGAGTCACCTTAAAACTTTTAATCAAATAATGCTAATATTTACACATGGATCATATCAATATCTCAGACAGTTTCGTTTGCATTTCCTGCTGTGTGTTGTTTTTAGATTGATTACATTAACATTTCCAAACGGATTGCATCGCCATTTCCAAGCTGATTATGTTAAAATTCAGAGACAAATTTAGTTGATATAGTCTGAGTATTTTCAGACAGATTTTCTTGGACAGGCAGTTAGACTATTTGTTTTTCGAATTATATAAATATATTTAAACTGATCACATTATTAGGTGATGAATATCAAAAACTAATTTACGTCATTTTCAGATTAACCACGAAGGAATATATACAAACTGATCGCATTATCAGGTCCAGTCGATTTTTTTTGGGGGGAGGGGGGGGCCACGAGGGAAAATCTCTGCTGAGAAATTCAGACTGATCACATTGTTAGGTCTAGTCTGATAATAAGTTGATTTACGTTCAGATTTTATTCACGGGTGCGTGAATATATCCAAGGAGAACCTCTTTGGATATATTCAAACTAACCACATCATTAGGTTCAGTCTGATAGATATTCAAACTAACATCATTAGGGTCAGTCTTTTAGATATTCAAACTGGTATCATTAGGGTCAGTCTGATAGATATTCAAACTAACATCATTAGGGTCAGTCTGATAGATATTCAAACTAACATCATTAGGGTCAGTCTGATAGATATTCAAACTAACATCATTAGGGTCAGTCTGATAGATATTCAAACTAACATCATTAGGGTCAGTCTGATAGATATTCAAACTAACATCATTAGGGTCAGTCTGATAGATATTCAAACTAACATCATTAGGGTCAGTCTGATAGATATTCAAACTGGCATCATTAGGTTCAGTCTGATAGATATTCAAACTAACATCATTAGAGTCAGTCTGATAGATATTCAAACTGGCATCATTAGGGTCAGTCTGATAGATATTCAAACTAACATCATTAGGGTCAGTCTGATAGATATTCAAACTAACATCATTAGGGTCAGTCTGATAGATATTCAAACTAACATCATTAGGGTCAGTCTGATAGATATCCAAACTGACATCATTAGGTTCAGTCTGATAGATATTCAAACTAACATCATTAGGGTCAGTCTGATAGATATTCAAACTAACATCATTAGGTTCAGTCTGATAGATATTCAAACTGGCATCATTAGGTTCAGTCTGATAGATATTCAAACTGGCATCATTAGGTTCAGTCTGATAGATATTCAAACTAACATCATTAGGGTCAGTCTGATAGATATTCAAACTGGCATCATTAGCGTCAGTCTGATAGATATTCAAAACTACCTAAAGTACAGATTTTATGCCCTGCGCGCTTGAATATTTCCAGATTGACTACGACGAGCCCATGGGTGCTAAGGGGAAGTCGCCATGGATAACACTGAATGGCGAAGACATGGCAGACTCACAGCTGATAATGGAGTACTTGGGGCCAAAGTTTAAGAAGGATTTGACTGCGCACCTGTCGGCCGAGGAGAAAGCTGTGGCTCACTCGCTGCAGATCATGATTGATGAATATTTTCTGTGGTATGTTCTGTGTGTGTGTGTGTTTTGTTCTCTATTGTGTGTGTTTTGTTCTCTATTGTGTATGTTTATGTGTATTTGTGTATGTTTGTGTGTGTGTGTGTGTGTGTGTGTGTGTGTGTGTGTGTGTGTGTGTACGTGTGTGAGTGTGTGTGTAAGAGAGAGCTAAGCTAAGCCTCTCCTTACTTCCTTCATTTATTGCAGATATTAAGTTTTAATGAACCATTTGCAACTATGTGTTTTATATAAAAACATTAACAACATGTACCTTAAATTTCTCACAAATTGATATGGTGAAAAAGGGGTGGAACAGTATCTGTCATTGCATTTAGCCAATGAGGATCGGCTGTGAGATACCAGATTATCTAGATACATAATTATTTGTATCATCCAACATTATTATAATCAAAATAAAAAATCCCTTCTTTTGTTTATGATAACCAAGTGCTCCATGTCATAAACAGCCTTTAGAATACACAAGGGAAAAGGCCGATTTCATTTTTTTAAAGTTCATTATGCTAAACGTAAGTAGTGTTACCTGTCTTACATGCCCCTTAGCGTTAATTAATGAAACCCCCCTCCCCTTTTCCAGGCCGTATATCAGGTGAGATACTTAACAAATGCCCCCCTCAAAATGGATCCAATACCAGTGTGTTGACATTAATTTGCTGTTAACTCTTCCCAGGTGTCTTATCGTATGGCGTTATGTTCAAGAGCGTGGTCGTCCGTTGACCAGTAACATGAAGCTTCCAGCGGGCAGCAGCTTTATGATTTCCTTTTTTGTCAAGAAAGTGACCGAAGCGACCCGTTTGCAGGGCATTGGGCGTCATAGCTTCCAGGAAGTGGAGGCGATGGGCAGAAAGTGTCTCCATTCTCTCTCCACTTGGCTCGGTAGGTTAAAAGCAGGGCCTGTTGCCCCGTGTAAGGATTTTGGTTTCACTGTCTCATAGGTGAACCGTATTCTTGTTGACTGGTATGGATGAAAATGGATATTTTCACAGTACGTGATATGTATTTAATCGGTTTCGATTGTTTCTGACTAAGATATAATCGAAACGGGTTAAATACATCTCTTTAATTGTGAAAATCTTCATTCTCATTCATGCCTTTTCTACATAAGTCTTATATTATACTGAGCATGAAGGTCTACTGTCAGTGTTTTGATTTCATCACTGGTAAAGGTCCTGCATCTCACTGTTCATATTGAGAGCTTATGTCAGTCCATTGTAGCAATGTTGGGCTTTATGATTCATGAAGACCCTCTGTCTTACTGTTCGTTAGTATTAGTATTGCAACGTCTGTCTATAACTTCCAAAGGATGAAGGTCATTACTTTCAGTAGCTATGTACGTCCTGTGTCACGATATTTGTGTTGGTAGCCCTTGAAGGCCTAGTGTTACACCATTTTTTTGCAGTAACGCGTGTAGATCCAGTGTTATGGTGTTTGTAGTACCTCCCCATACTGTTTATCATATTAACATGTAAAGATCCTAATGTCAGTACTAATAACGGCCTAATAGTTGATGCCATACTGATTCTTTTTTTTTTTTTTTTTTAACTCAGAAAGATCCATTCATTTGTCTAGAAATTCACTATAATCCTGGTTATCCTGCAAGTCCAGTACTGCCGTTTCCTATATAAAAACAACCCAATAAACACCTTAAAATACTTTAAGACTGAATTGGCATACCAGTGTCATAGCTGTTTCAGCATTCTCCATTTTCTTCGTAACCACAGGACAAAAGCCTTATTTAATGGGCGACAAACCAACTGAAGTGGACTGCGCAGCTTTTGGAATGCTGGCGCAGGTAGTGTGGTGTTCCCCGAACTCTGCCTACCTGAGGATGCTGGAAAGTAAGTCTGATCAATTAAGATTTTTTTTTTCCATATTAAACTTGTATTTTTTTTCATCTTAATATATATTTATGTATGTATGTAAATATAATAAATAGGTAAATAATAGAAAAATAAACATCGACATAAAGAATTTGTAAAGATACATAATCCATAATTTGAAACATGAATCTTAAGATAACAGCAATTTTTTTAGTCAAAAGAATTATTAGTTGTGTGGTATTTATATGAAAGAAAGGAAGAGAATTCACACATGAGTAATATATTTAACGTAAACAAATATTAAACCTGTTAAAACTAGGGAGCAACATTTTCACAATATAAACAAAGGTAACTTTTTTTTTTATATCTCTCTCATAGTATGCATTATCATACCTATAGATTTTTTTTTGCATAATGGAGCAGCTAGCAGACCTGTAAATAAACCATTAACCATTGCATAGCATTCTCAAAAAAAATGAAAACGCGTGTCTGACATTTTTTTAAATCTTGAACTTTTCAGCTGACTTCAAGAACCTGTATGAGTACTGTCAACGTATGAAAGAGAGGTTCTACCCCGACTGGGACAAGTGTCTCGAGAAGCGCAGTTAGTAGAAAGAAAGAAAAGAAAAAAGAAAAACAGTTATAATAATCTTAGTGGATTGCTATCAGTAATGGCTAGCTATGTGTATAGTTTTTGTGTGATACCATTGTATTTTTTTAAAGTGTAATTTGATCACATTAAAATATGAAATGAGTTTATATTGTGTTCATTATAATTTTACCTTATAGCTAAATCGTTCGTTTGTAAGAGAGAGATAGAGAGAGAGAGAGAGAGAGAGAGAAGAGGAAAGAAGAGAAAGAGAGAAAGAGGAAGAGGGAGAGGGAGAGAGAGAGAAAGAGGAAGAGGGAGAGGGAGAGAGAGAGAAAGAGGAAGAGGGAGAGGGAGAGAGAGAGATGTGAGGAGGGAGAAAAAGAGAGACTGCTCACTCCTTCCAAGGTCTTGACTTGATACTTGTTCTCCCAAGGATGAACAAGTATCAAGTCACACTACTGCATATTGTAAAAAAAGGGAAAAAAATAGATCGATTGACCAACTTAGACAGAATGAGGTATTGCACAAGCTCATAAAGGGATATATGTATGTATTGTTGCATTT